TTTTCCCATGCAGAACCCATCCTTGGTATCCTTCCCCTGCTCCCCAAACCAGCTCCCTCTCCTCTCCCAGCCTCCCCATGTCTGTTTAATTTAGTGCATGCAATTGCCCAGCAATTGGCTTCTCATTTGCTGGGCTGCTGAGGCCGCTCTTGATTAGAGAAAGGAGGGGGGTGACCTTAGCTTCCCCTCGCTGCTGACCTGGCACAGTAATTAATGTCGACGTGGGCTTCACAATGTATTTAGGAGAAGTAATCGGCCCTGGTGCAAGATGCACGGTCACTAATTACAATACAACAAGCTCTTACCGACTGCAAGTGCACGTGCTGGTGTTGTACGCCAGCATGGCTACAGCGTGGGGCCCTGGCCCTCTGCCTGCTCCCTTTCCCTGGTCCCTAATCCCAGGTCTGGAGCTCTGCAGGGACCCCGTTTCCATGGATTTCCCCTTGCAGCTCCGGTTTCCGGATGCTCAGAGCTGCAGCAGGCGTGAGTGTAGCCCTCCCTGGGGCACAGCCCTCCCTGTCTGTGCTAACCTCTGGCTCTTCTCTCACCTCTGCTATTGCTCTTAAGAATTTTCCCTAAAGAGAAGAGGGGTGGGAAGGGCTTCAGAAAGAGTATCAGAGGAGGAATTTTGCGTTGGCCCTGGCAGGCTGGGTGGGAGTTTGTCCTCTTCCAGCTTCTAATTCAAAACATCCCACTTGAGAGAGCACACCAGCTCAGCCTGGCCTGGGAAACAAGGGGTTAAATTTGTAAAGGAGAAAAAAAAAAATCCCCAAAAGAGATTAAATAAAGCAACTACGGTTGTGTAAGCTTCATATAATTTAATCAGGTTTGCTTTTATTTGTCTCCTTACTCTAAGTGTAACATTAGCTATTGCAAGTGACAGGAAGGAAATGCTGCTAATCTGCAGCGAGCATCAGGCTGTCGGTACCTGCTCCCTTTCTCTCTAGGTTTTGGGGGTGAGGTTTGCTGCTTTGTGTGAATTTAAGCCTGATTAAGTATTTAATTCAGTATTGTTCATTTATTTCTGCTTATCATCAGCAAGTTAAACATGAGGGCGCAGGGAGGTGACAGGCATGTGGGGGGCTCAGATGTTGCCGTGCTGCTCGTGATGGGGGTTTCATGTCCTCCCGTGCTCCCTGCCAGGGCTCCAATGGGATGGTCACTGCTGGGCAGGACACATGTCCCACCTTATTGAGGTCCTCCTGCTCTACTGAAGGGAGAAAGCCTCTCGTCCTGTGGTCTCCTTTGCCTGGTCTTGTCTGCAAAAGCACCAGCATAGAGGAGTGGGGATGCAGCGCATCTTCCTCTGCCCCAGTTTTACTGGGAGGTCTGGTGGGTGTCCAGCGCATCCACTGCTCTCAGGTGTTCCCATGCTGAGGAATCAACTGGTATCAACTGGCATCTCTGTGTCCCTGTAGGGAGCAGCCGATGTTTTTTCCTCAGGCATCTGTCTGAGTTACCAGCATCATCGCATCAAAGTCCCCACATAGTCTGGGTGGAGGGACACTGGGAAAAGGAATTTAAAGTGTATCTGTTCCTAGCAGGACGTTATCCTCTGACCTGCATTAAGGGAAATTGAGCCATGTGCTTGCTCGTGTGCGTCCGTGAGAGGAACCTTGCAGACAGAGGCACAGAGGGTTTGTCACTCCCCCATCGTCCTTCTGCGATGCTTTGGGGTGGACATCCCTGCTCGCTGGGGTGATGAGGGTGACAGGGACACCCGAGGGCTCGTATTGCAGCATTTACAAGGAC